AAAGTCACGTGGTGACGTAGGCTGAGTCTCAAGTATAATAGATACACTAGCTCAGCCTTCAGTCTCTTTCACTTTCTCGCTTGTCTGTGATAGGTCGTTCTTCAATCGATTTCCGCTCTTGTCAAGTGCAGCTTACAAGACCAGCAAATTATCGTCTTCGCAAGCTGTGACAGCGCGCTCGTAAGGGGTTTTTCGGTGAGTTTTTTGTTGGATATATTTGCTGATATATCGATAACACTTAGTGCTTCTCTGTACTATCCGGTGGCTAGTGTTACTGATCAATTTGCTGACGGTTCCCCGCTCAGTTTTTTCATCTTACATAAAATTGTGCAACACTTGTGCCTCTCGGTGCTATCAGGTGGCTAGTATTTTTCCGTGTTGATATAGTTATGGTCCCCCGCTATTTAACACTTTTTATATACGTTTTCTGTGAAATACCTTGTGCTTCTTGGTGCTATCCGGAGGCTAGTGTTTCGCCACGCTTATATGTTGGCGGTTCCCCGCTAACCTTATCAGTGAAAGGATCTCGAGAAACACTTCGTGTTTCGCGGTTCTATCTGGTGGCTAGTGTTTTTTATACGCTGAGGCCGATTGTTTTCCTGCTATTTTTCCAGGCAGTTTTCTTAATACTTTGTATTCTTCGGTGCAATTTGACGGCCAGTTCCGTTATTGTGGTGGTCATGGCTCACGGTTCTATCATTACTGGATTCCGATTAACATGTAAGCTGTGCCCTAATGCTCTTCTACCTGACGATGGCCACAATATTTGTCCGTCCTGCTTGGGAATTCAGCATTTGAAAGAGGCTCTCACAGACCCGTGTTTACACTGTAGCCTTTTACCCATGTCAGATAGACAGCTCCGTCTAGCCGAATTGGACCCCAAATCCACAGTAAGACTCGGGGGAACAGAGCCGCAACCCACCACATGGAATTGGAAACACGGTGCATCTGCGGCTGCCGGTGCTCCCCCATCTAAGAAGGCGACATCCCGGAACGAGAAGGTAGATGAAGCTTCTCTTTCTAAGACAGTTGCTGTCCTGTCGTCTGAAATGTCAGAGATAAAACGCCTTCTTTAGACACTCCAGCCTGTTATGCTTGTCTCACCTGTAGCTATTACATAAGAAGATGAGAGAGGTCCCAGTAAGAAAATGGATGACGAACCTTTTAGTTCTTCTCCTCCATCTCATGTTGACTTTGACGTGCTCTCTACAAGTGTGTCTGACTAATTTTTCCAGGATCATTTGAATGCGATAGGTGTTGCTGTACAATCTTTCCCCCAGGAGAATGCAGTTTTTTTCAGCTGCAGGGGGTTCTAGCGGTGATTCGATTCACTCGGGACTAACTCCTTCCTCCATGGACTATACCTTATCTGTGCTCCAGATGGCAGTTGCTTGTTTAGGACTGGATAACACGCCAGTGCAGTCAGCCCAGTCCAACGTCTTCAGCTGGGTCTAACTTTGCTATGCCACCAGGCAAGGATTTTGTTGCAAAATTTTCGAACTCCCTGATAGGGTCTACTGCACCCAAACGGCGGTCAAAGACTGCCCATACACTGGTATCTATGGCGGATGCAGATACCTTTAGGGTTGGCCGTGCTCCAGAAATAGAGCAACCCGTCGCTGCCCTCGTGGTGTCACCTGATGAGGCCCTGCGGGGCAATGTGCATTGCCCCAGTACTCAGTGCGGTCACACAGATTCGTTACTCAAAAGGCATATGAGTCTACTGCATATATGACCCGTGCCGAGAACACAATATGTCAATTACTCCTCACCACAACTAGCACACTCGAATCAGCAAATGTGGACCCCTCAGTTTCGCAATTCCTTCAAACTGCTCTTTTGGCTATGGGCCATGTCACCCGCGAACTGGGTACTCTTACAGCCACACTTCTGGCAGCTCGCCGGCAAGTGTGGCTCGCCCAGGCGAAACCGCCAGAGGATTGTAAAAAGACACTATGAGACCTCCCAATTGTTCCTGGTCACCTGTTTGGACCTAATGTCCCAGAGCTTCTGGAAAAATGGTTAAAGTTGTCTGAGGCCACTCGTCAATTGACTCAGGCTCAGCACAATCCTGTTTTTAAGGTGCCGGGCATTCAGGCTCGTCATCGTTTTGCGATACTAGAGCAACGATTCCGCCAGCATTCTACGCCACAACCTCAGGAGTTACAGAGGCCCTGTGCTACTGAGAACACTCAAGGTTTTCGACCTCATCAGTGGCAGTTGCCAGGGAGACCACGTCAGACCCCCCCCCCACCGTCATTAAAAGTCGCAATCACAAAGCTTGAAGTCATTGGACAGGTGATCGATCATTTTTCGAGTTTACACCTGCAGTACTGGAGGGAGATGACTGTAGATCCATGGGTTTGGACTACATTGAGCAAGGGGTATACTCTGCAGTTTCGACGCCGGCCCCCAAAGTTTTCAAGGATTATCCCCACAGTGATAAGGGATACAGTTCATTCAGAAACCCTCTCTCAAGAAATTTGTTCTCAGCTAGAGAAGGGAGCCATAGAAAAGGTTCATCCCTGCATTCAAAGGGACGGTTTTTATTCAACTTACTTCCTCGTTCCAAAGAAGGATGGTGGTTTTCGTCCAGTTCTAGACTTTAGACATCTAAACGTGTTCCTAAAAACTCTTCCCTTTCGGATGTTACATGCAGCCGACGTTCTTCATTCAGTCACAAAGGAAGATTGGTTCACAAGCATAGATTTGAAAGATGCTTACTTTCATGTTCTGATTACTCCTCACCACAGGAAATTTCTTCGATTCAGTTTCAAGAACCGGCCTACCAGTTCAAGGTCCTACCGTTCGGCCTATCTTTGGCCCCTCGTGTCTTCACAAGGTGCATGACTGCAGCTCTACATCCGCTGAGGTCCAGAGGGATGCGAATCCTGCCTTACTTAGACGACTGGCTACTGTGTGCATCGACAAAACAACAAGCTGCTCGTGACACCAGACTGCTTTTGGAGCATGTGCAGAAGCTAAGTCTTGCAGTAAACGAGGCAAAGAGTTGTCTGAATCCAGTGCAAACAATTACTTATATTGGAATGACACTGGACTCCCATGTAATGTCTGCCACCCTCTCACATGCCCGAGTGGACAGTATTCTGCTGCTCGATGGCCAGCCAGGCCTTGGTTTCCCATGCTTCTGTCTATTGGTGGGCAGGACATGGCAGCCTCCGCTTCTGAAGGATCTGTTGTCACAGATGGATGGCGCAGGCAGGCATCCGGATCCAGCCCGTCTGCAGCTTTGGGTGTGGCCTGTGGGGCCAACTGCCTCTTAGCAGATTGTGAGCCTGCGGTAGTTCATACCATAACTAGTGCCAGAGCTGCATCTACACGTCAGCTCTATGTGCTACGTTGGAGGATTTTCTCATCATGGTGCGAGGAGCGTAGGTTAGATCCTGTATGCTGTGAAGTTCTTGGAGTTCTCAGTTTTTTGCAGCATTTTTTGAATTCAGGCAAAACACCCTCCACACTGAAGGTATATGTTGCGGCCATTTCTGCACATCATGTTCCGGTTAATGGTTCTTCTCTTGGTTCTCATACTCTCGTGTGCAGTTTTTTGAAGGGTGCAAGATGGCTGAGATCCCGTATCCCATATTTTCCTCAATGGGATTTGAAACTCCCTCGATGGGATTTGAAACGAGAGAGGTCCAGGCCTGGTCCTCTCTCGTCCAACACTGTCGTCACTCCTCCTTTTATCCTTCCGGAGCTCCTCCGTGGGACTCAAAACCGGTGAGTGGCGCAGGTGTCGCGCATTAGCATTTACTCCACCGGCCTCGCTCCGTTCCCACGGCTCTCGGCCCCGCCCCTCTCGTCACAGGCAGCTTTTCAGTCAGCACCACAGTCAGACCAGTCAGGGAATCACCTTTTGTGTCCTGTGCGAGCCCTGAAGGGATATGTGGATTGTGGAGGTTATCACTATGGCATAAAAAGCCCAAAAAACCTTTGCCAGAGGGTATATCTTGTCATTCCACTAGGGCTGTGTCTACGTCTTGGGCTGCTTTCAGAGGAGTCTCTATGGCGGATATCTGTGCTGCTGCCACTTGGGCTTCCCCATGTACTTTTGCCCGCTTCTGCAAACTCAACTTTGCTACCCCTCATGCTGTCAGTTCAGCAGTTCTTCAGGAGCAACCTTGAATTTTTCAGGTGAGTGGCATTCTTCATGACTATGTTGGTATGAGTAATCCACATCATGGTGGCCATATTTGCAGTGCCTCCAGTGAGTTATTTGGGGCATGCAAGACCAAATCTCCTGGAATAAATACAGAAATCATGAAAACTGCTTTTCAAACCAGCTTTTCAAAAATATATTTCAAATTGACAGTAAAATCTGATATTCCCTGTCTAATAAATGTTGTTTGTTACATTCAAATAGTAGTAAAAAGGCGTATATTTCAGGTTCATCCAGCCAATGTGAATGTGCAGTCCCTAAGCATGAATTTTAGGAAACTACGGTAACTGTTTCTGGAGCTTCTTACAGCAACTGCAGTGATGCGATAATTTTTCCAATTGCCAGTTGGCTTCTTTGTTTAGAAGGCAGGACTTTCTTCTACTAGAGCCGCCATATTGTGCCATGCAGTTTCTACCAATTATTCCAAGTAATACAAGTGAACCATCTTAGTATATACTGTAGTCTTTGATAACAACACAATGAAAGCAAAGATAATCAGTGAATAATGAATTTTGGTCTGTTCCTCATATGCAAATTTTTGAAGACTTTGATGAACTACTTTTACTTTTATGGTGCTTTTGGGTCTTTTTTGAAGCGTGAAAGCGTCGGTTTTCATTGAAGCTTTCATTGTAATTACATGGGAAAAAAGTCTCCAATTTTTCCCACTTGTCCACAGAAAAAATAAAGTCAAACAGGTTTGAAACAACATGGGAGTAAATAAATAATTACAGAGGTTTAATTTTTGGGTGAACTATACCTTTAAAAATGTTCTTCTTCCCTTTTTTCTGTTTTTCTCTATCTACATCTTCTGTCTTCTCTCCAGCCTGCAGATGTAACAACCACGCCAACATGTGCCACTCCAGCTCAGGGAAATGCTACTGTAGCACTAAAGGGGTCAAAGGGGACCAGTGCCAGCTGTGAGTATGACTGCATTTCCCATCAACAGCAATCCTCCCAGTGGCCTGCCTGTCAGTCAGAGAGTGATAGACATGAGATCTTCAACAAGTTTTCTCACATTATAATTCTCTCATTAGCATCATAGCACAATTATTCACACATTTAACCCTCTCGTAAGTTCTCTGTTATTAATTCCCACTTAAGTGTCTTTCTAATCCCAGGACATTAATTTTAATGGCAACCTCTACTGTGCTGTGTCAGCGAAACCCTGTTCTCAGTGGCAAAGGGAACTTATCAGTGCCTTAAATAGCACTTTTGGGGCTGACACTGTGGCCTGTGTGTGTATGTGTGTGTATATGTACTGAGGTCCATAAAGACAGAGTGTTGTGTGGATGTATTTGTAACAGGATGCACCACTGCCAGTGGCACTGATAATGTATTAAGCAGTAATGAGTTCCCTAGGACTTAAGTATAATTCTCAAAAGTTTATCTTTTCCACACACCCTCTATCCTTTTTTAAAATATCACTCAAGTGACCTGTGGGTAGAGAGTTAGATGGCAAACAAGCAATAGAGCTTCAAACGCATGCCTGAACCAAGAAGACTGTGCATGGTAAGGTGGGTTATCTAACATCATCCATCTTTATTCTTGACATTTTGTCAAATCGAATATGTTAAGGACTAAGAACACATAGCAATTAGATTTATTTACTATTCTTTTTTGTTCTGTCAAGAATGTACAAATACAGATTCTGTTCAGAACTATGCAAAATTCAAATCTAGGGATGCACATACAGGGCTGTACGTTAACTTTTTTTTCACATAGCACTGGTGCTACAGAGATTGAAAGTTTTGTAGCACAGGCCAAAAAGTTTTAGCACAAGTATAAAACGTCTGTTATCATGTCTGAAAACAAACACAAGTAATGGAGTTCATCACTTAAACAGGCACTGATGTTCCATACAGAGCACAAAAAATACAAAAAATTGTTTTTAGACAAAGTTTTCTTAATTTGCTAAAAATGGAAGAGTGCAGAAACATAACACCTCTTACACCTTAACAAAATATAAAATAAAAAACAATGGCAGACATTTAGGCCAAAGTGAGCAAAGATAAAAATCTTTGTCATTATTTTATACTGTCTGCAGCTGATAGAATGTGCGCTGTAGCACGATACAACGATATTTCTTCAAAAGCAGATCGTGGAGACATTTTAATCGTCCACGATCAAAAATCGTCATATCGCACACCCCTAACTACCAAGTATAATCAATCTCACACACACAAACAAGCACAAGAAATCACTTCACACTATTAAGCGGCTGTGTTATGAACATGCAAAACTGTATCGCACGCGTGCTACAGTGGTAAATTTATTCATCGCACAGACCAGCTTTTTCGTAGCACGTGCGACATATATGTCGCACTGTACAGCCCTGACATATGTATTAAATAAAAAAAGGCAAAGGAGCGTGCACAATTAAATGTGCAATATTGACTGATATGATAATAGAAAAGGTCTACAATGTCAGCAGATAACTGATATGGTCCCAGTTAGTGTTGTCATGGTACCAAAATTTCAGTATTCGGTACCAATACCAGTGAAAATCCACGGTTCTCGGTACCAATTTCGGTACCAAAGCAAAACACAAAAACATGCTAATTAAAATTTTTTACTATACTTTCATTTAATCCAAACTGTGTACATATTTAATTTTAAAGGGCTTTTAAAACCTTCTAGAGTTATTCAGCCAAGAATAACAACTAAGTTAGCTAAAAAAAAAAGCCCAGAACTGCTTTTCTGACTGATATGACACAAACAACGTTAACTATTTGTAAATTCTCTAGCACGCATATTTTAGATTCACAATTAAATTAAAAGCTTCTGGTGTGTAAACATAGTAAATATCATCATGTCCTCCAGTTTTTTTAACCCTAATAAAAGTTATAGGAGCATTAAATAGTTAATAAAGAAACTTCATTCTAATGCTCATTATATTAGCGTTAGCCGAGCTTGTTTCCCACAGACTTGCACTCTATTTGTGGTGGCATATATATGCAAATTCCATTCTCTGCCAGCAGGAGGCGCTTGTAGAGTGGGAGAGATAGAGGTTTCCCCAGTAACGGCTGTAATCAAATAAGCGCTGCACTCACAAACTCTGTTTAGGCATTACAGGCAAGATGAAATGAAAATGACATCATAATTTTCTGAAGATAGTCGGTTTCCTTCAGAAATACAGTGGTATAAAAACACCCGCACCGGGTTTCGACTTTGACACGTGCGGTGCTCATGTTTGTTCAACGAAGTCAAAGCCTTTTGGAAAACCGGGCGCCACAAATAAATCAATGTATGGGAAACACTGAGAAGATCTAAATATTAAACATTGAAATTAAACTTACCTGCTTGAACTCTTTCATTTGATCCAGGTGTCTGTCTTTAAAGTGTTTTGTTAGTTGGATGTGTTTCCTCATTTTGAGGTCGCCATGTCTCAGGGCTTTTATGAAGAGAGTGCATCTGCACACCTTTTGGATAGCGCATCAAGAACCGGGTTTACCGGGTACACGATACCACCGGTACTTAAAAAAACATGGTACCGTAACATTTTCATTTTTTTAGTACCGACTTGGTACCAAAATACCGGGTCTTTTGACAACACTAGTCCCAATATACTGGGCATCCCTATGAAAAACTTTTTTTTTTTACAAAGCCCCATGGAAAGAAGATGAAAAAATGAGATGGGTGGAAAAATTATATTTCAATGCCTTTTCATCCACTCACAATACTTTTATGTTCCCTTGAGAAACTTTACGTTCTTTCGCAAAGATTTTGCGTTCTCTGACAAAACCTTTTGCGTTTCCAGACAAACTTTGCATTTTACCCTGTAAAAAAAATTGCAAAGATTATGCATTCCCCAGAGAAACTTTGCATTCACTTTCAAGAATTGCACAAACTGAAACTTTCTTCTACTCCTGTGCCCAGTCAGTCCCACGAATGCAACACACTGACTATAGTCACGTCCACACTCTCATATTACATAGTTTCTATTTTGTATAAAGAATAGAAACAACATGGAATTCCTGAAAAGAGAAAACATTTCCCGTATGCATTGCCCTCTCTATATATATATATATATATATATATATACAGTGGGTGGGCCCTGCAGTAAGTCCCCCTTAAATTTTTCACTCTTTGTTATATTGCAGCCATTTGCTAAAATCATTTAAGTTAATGCACAGACATTTCCGTACATTCACGTTGTTTCCACACACATTCATGATAATGTTTTGATTTGTCATGTGTTTGTTGCTGTTTATTTATTCTGAATGGATCCGTGTACTGTAGTAGATATATGCAGTCAGCCGTCGGTTGGTTTAGGGTTTTTTTGGCATCACCATGTGGTCCTGTTCGGTACCGCAACTTGACTTCTCTAAAATGGAAAAAAGCTATTTGCTGTTGCACTGTACACATATTATACAATTCAGATTGTTTTTTTCTTTCATATGTGCTTATATGGGCTCCTTATATCATTTGGTTCTTTGGTGTCCTTTTGGAGTTTTCTTTTGGAGTTTTGGAGTTCTTTTGGAGTCCTTTTTTGGAAAGACATCTATATTTATCTTGAAAAAAGATTCAGTGAAATGGATTTAAATATGGTATATGTTTTGAAGAGAGCTGTACTACACTCTTGTCACAAGGTAAAATCATTAGGCATTATCAAATTGGCCTCCTAACTCACATGACCAATAACTTGGTTTTGGTCGAGCAGCTACACCATCATAAACCAAAATAATAGAAATACATGTTAGTATGTCTTTTCAGTAGGGCATTCATGGGCAGCCTTGTTGCATGCAAACTCCAAAATCTACTTTAAACCATATTTATTATGAACCAGAATGTTGCTTTTATATGTAAAATCAATGGTGAACATGAATTCATTTCAAAATTAGCCAAACAACATTGATTAGCCATATGTTTTGTTGTCCACCAGTTGTTGCATACAATCACAAATAAGTTTACCTGCTTGAAGTGGCTAGCACTTACATGTACTTTCACATCACCATGGGAACCGTTGAAATGATTAAAGACAGTGACTCACCCAGCCTGAGCAATGGCACATGAGCATTTGAGATGCACAGCCCGAGTGCTGAATCACTTGTCTTTAAGCACATCAATCTTCCTTCTGTAAACTCATGATCTCCATATGCTTCATGCACTTCATCTCAATGTTAATTACATTTTAAATCAGATTCCTTGTAGTGGTGAGGAAACATGTATTGTTTGTTGGACACACAGGTGGATCCATCTCAGACTTGTTGGTGCAGCCTCTACTATCTACATGCAGATTTGTAAATGGATATGAAAATGTATCTCTGATTTTGGTTTGTATTTGGGTCTGGATGTTTACGTGTGGAGTTCTGGGTCTGAATGTTTATCCGTGCCCCATTTTATCTTCAGATGTGCCTGTTTGTGTGTTCAGTGAAATGAGCCGGGTAAGCTGGCCCAACAGCTGTAAATATGTGTGTTTTGAGGGACTGTTTGTCCTTTTTGCTTTTGTCTCTGTTGATAACATGCTTTTAGCAGTTATATTACAGAATACTGCAGTGTAACACACAACCACAAAACAGTAAAATACATAATGTTTGTTTTGTGTACTACACTCTTGAAAATAAAGGTTCTTTATTGGTATCTATGGTTCCATGATGGACCTTTAACTCTCTTCCTCTAACCTCTTACTGCATATCAACAGTTCTTCTCTTATGGAAAATTTTCCACTAGATCTTATAGATGCAGATAGATAGATGCAGGAACAAAGCTATGGCAGCGAATGCCATAGAATAAATATTTTGGGTTTCCCAAATAACTTTTTAGTTAACGCTTCTTAAAAGGACCACCTTTTTTCTAAGTGAGGAGAACATTTTAATAATCCAAGTAACATTTTTCCACTATAAATAATCTTTTGTGCAATGGAAAGGTGAATAGCATTGGTAATTCTTGGAAGAATGAGATGGAAAATGTTCAAATC